ATAAAATAAAGAACATTCATGAAGTTCAACATCCCAGTAATAAAATTCCAGAAAGAACCAACAGAGAAAACATATTTCTTTACCTTTCTTAGGGGGACGGGGGAGAGGGAAGACCTCTCAAAGAAATGATTCAAGAAAATTTCCCCTTACTGAGCAAGATGAATGTCTAGATTTAATTTCCAGCATAATTAATGTTTTAAGTGCTAACATGAGAAGATCACAAAAATTTGCAGAAAGGAAACACAGGTCATGTGCAAAAAAAACTAGACTTAGTGGAATCACATGTGAACAGCAACATTGTATGATAAGATGGTAGAGCAATGCCATCTAAGAGGAAAACTGATATTCAACCCACAATCCCATATAATAAAGAGTGAATATGCAAATTGACCACCACTCCGCCACAAAGATGGCGGTGCCCACAGCAGGGGGGGTGGTGGTGGTGGTTCCATAACACAAGATGACTGCGCCCACAGCGGAGGCAGGGTTTCCGTAACACAAGATGGCTGCACCCATAGCGGAGGCCGAATTCCCGTAAAGAGCCTTAACGAGCAATCAGCAGGGACCTGAGGCTGCGCCCCCCCCCCCCCACCCCCCCTGTGGGGCTTGACAGGGGACTTCAGGCCGCACCCCCCACCCGGCAGGGCTTTGACGGGGAAACTTAGGCCACACCCCCACGCCCTGGCACCAGGCCGGGGGACCTCAGGCCGCGCCCCCCCACCCAGCAGGGCTTGACAGGGTAACCTCAGGCCATGCCCCCCACCCAGCAGGGCTTGACGGGGGGCCTCAGGCCACACTCCCCGCCTTGACACCAGGGCAGGGGGGGGGGGACCCTCGGGCCTTGCCCCCCCCCCCAGGAGGGGTTTTGAAAGGGGAACCCAGGCCCACGCCCCCCCCCCCCGGAAAGGGGGGACTGATGAGGCTGCGCCCCCCCCAGGGCTTAACAAGGGTGGGACCAGCTGGGTCTGGATCTAGCCCAATGGGGGGCGGAGGGCGGCCAGGCCTGGGTCTCACGCGATTTTGAGGTGGGTGGGCGGGGACTTGACTCTAGGTCCCGTGGTGCGCCCCAGACTCTGACAGGAGGAAGATTTTCATATACATTTTACTAATTTTCTTTCATCTCTGACACTTCTAGTATAGAGAAAGGGCAAATAGCAATATTAAAATATTTCCTCTAATTAATCCCCTTTTAATGTGCACGAATTTCATGCACCAGGCCACTAGTTGCATAATAAACTATCATGATGGAAACAAAGAAAGGCCAACCCTTTCATTCATTCAACCAAGAGATATTAGGTGTCCAAACAGGCACTATTCAAGGTATTGGAGACAAGCAATGAGCAAAACGTTAATAAGAAGAAACAATTCAAAGTGCTTGCCTTTGGGAAGCAGGGTTGGAAGGAAGTGATAGAAGACAGAAGACAAAGTTTTACATCAGATTTTTAAAAAGCACTATTTAATACTTTCTTTTATTTTACTGAGGAAGGGAGAGGGAGAGAGAGATAGAAACATCAGTGATGAGAGAGAATCATTGATCAGCTGTCTTCTGCAGGCCCACACCAGGAATCCAGCCCACAACCCCGGCATGTGCCACCACTGGGAATCGAACCATGACCTCCTGGCTTATAGGTCGACGCTCAACCACTGAGCCTCACCAGCCAGGCTAATACTCTTTTTAAAGAAAAAAGATGACCAAATGTCATTTACAGATATAATCACAAATAATTTTAGATACAAAAATTTTTTAAATACAATTATCTCTTAGGGGCTCACAGATCCTCTGCAACCTTACCTAGATCAGACGTGTACATCTATGGGAATAATAGGAGCATTGAGGGGCAGAGTGTGAGCCAAGGTGGGGAGGAGGGGTCACTCTTCACACAGAAAGTAGAACTCAAGTTCAGGCCTCTAATGCCTTAATTTTGGGACACTGATTGGCAACAAACACACAACACTTTTCTGTTCCTCACAATTCTTAATAGTTCTTATTTATGGACCCTGGACCATAAAAAGATTTTTATCACATATAATCCCCTAGTTGTGGCAGTTCTTTTGAAATGTGTGAGGGTAATGAATGGGCTAAGTGTCAGATCTTTCCTTCTTCCAAATTTTGAAAGCTCTGAATGGAAAATGAACCTGAAAAACTGATTTAGAAAGATTCACCTAGCTCAAAAAAAAGAATAAAATTATTTAAAATTCTTAAATTTTCTTTTTAATGAGCTACTCAAAGCAAAATACAGCATTAAAAGAGCCATTTACTTTCAAGTGTAACAACATTTCACCAGTAGAAAACGATGTGCACTGGCATTATTAGCACCAGCAAAGATCACACCCAAAATTATACTTTACTAGCAAGAAGGCACTGGGGCAAGGAGGGGAGACAGAGTACAAGAGAAACCTGCACAAAAGGGACTGTATGAAGTTTTAAGGGGCATATAAATATCACTATTCTTAACACTGCATGTGCCATATAAATGCATGACCCATCAAGGCTCCACAAATTGCAAAGTTTTAGACTGCAGGATGAGAAAGAAAGCATGTCCAAAAGCTCACTAACACTAATTACACTTGCAAGCTGAGAGTGGATGGGATAAGGCCAGCACAAATGTCTAAGAGGCACCATCAGAGAAGAAATAAAACTAGGTGAGTATCTTCCAGAACACCAAAGCATCAGCCATGGGATATGGGAGATCAATCTCAGCAGCAGGTTACAATCAGGGGCTCAGGCAAAGCTTTAGAGATTGGGCATGTGACATGTGTAAGACCAGAGTAGGCGACTAAGCAATGTATTAACTGAACAAGGAGGGACAGAATGTAAGCAAGAGGAGTAAGTACTGGACCTGAAACTGGGTGTTTTTCAGAACAGATCAGAATTGTAATTCCTATCTATTAGTTGGGAGGGATGAAGCAGGGAGCTGGCAGGAGGAGAATTCTCCACAGGTTATTCTCCAGCTTCCTAGATCTCTATTTTAATGAAATATCTGCCCACAGTGATAAGATATTAGCTCATACAGACCACACAGAAAAGCAGGTGGTTAACAATTTGTTTACAGAGGCATTTAACAAGTACCCAAATGTTTGAAGACATATTACTGGACTGAAAAGAGCTTGGTAACTCAAGCCTGCCTGTTAAGAAAAAAAAAAAAAATCCTCAAAAAAGGAATAAGCAAGTTGAATAAATTAGAAGAATTTTCATGACAGCTGCGATTTCAGGGAACTACCTGAATGAAGAGAAAAAAATGTTTGGCAGTCTAGAGGCAAATGATCAATAAACAAAAATCAATTCTATTTCTATCACTAGCAATGAACAATCTAAAACTTAAATTAAGAAAACAATTTCATTTACAATAGCACCAAAAGGAAAAATATACTTAGGAATATTTTTGACAAAAGACAAATTTTGTATACTAAAAACTACAAACATCATTAAACTAAATTAAAGAAGACCCAAATAAATAGAAAGATTATGTTCACAGACTGGAAGACTTAATGTTGCTAAAGTGGCAATACTCCCCAAATTGATCTACAGATTCAATGCAATCCTACCAAAATTCAAACTGCCTTTTTTCCAAAAACTGACAAAGTAATCCTAAATTTCTTATGAACACGTAAGCAACCCAGAATAGCCAAAATAACTTTTGGGGGGAAAAACTTAAGAGAACTCACACTTTCAGATCTCAATGTTTACTTTAAAGCTGCAACAACCAAGACCATGTGGTATTGGTATCAGTCTAGACATATAGATCAATGAAATAGGACTGAGTCCAGAAATAAGTTCATACATTTATGGTTAATTTTAGACAAGAGTGCCAAGATAATTCACTGGGGGAGTGAATAATGTTTTCTACAGAAATGGTGCTAAGAACAACTGGATATTCACATGCAAAGAATAAAGTTGGACCTTCAC